AAATAAAAATGTTTGTGGTGCTAATGGTATGGAATGAGCTAAAGCTTTATGCCATTTTTAGCACTTTTGGAACAGAGAGAATTGGAGGATCTGAAAATATATGCTTAATCGCCCCCAAGGAAAGACTGCCATAATATTTTGGGTTACATAAGCAAACTAAATTGGAAATCTGGAATCTATTCAAGACCTTTTGATCAGGGAGCTTTGCAAGTGCAGAAAAGTAAAAACACAGACAGATGGGGATTAGAGTTGAGCATCAGGAGAATAATTTCCTCATTTAATTTCGGTTCCACCAACATATAAAAAGCATTAACAGTCCAGTTACATAACGTGTGTCAGAGCCTGGCTGGACAGGGCAGGAATTCTCGCTGTAATTAAGCCATTAGCCAACCCATGCTTGCTGCACGGAGGCAAGAGTCTCTCTGCACAGGGAAAGACACCCCCCCCACCCCCCTCCCTTCAAAAATCTGGGCAAATGTCCTGGCCAAAATTAGAAGCAGTTATTGAGGCTAATAGGAGCTGCAGGGGGTTCAGGGAAAATTGAAACCTACTCCAAGATACTGCTGGGCTCACAAAATCCAATTGACAATCACTCACAAACCCCAATCCACTCTTATTTCTCTCTATCTTTGTCACTAAATCAGCTTCAGTGGGAGAAGCGAGATCAGGCTGAAGAGCAAGAGGAGATATTTTTGCTGATTGCTTGATGTTGGAAACAATAGTGCATAATATACTTGTTGTTTTAATAGTGACATCTTTGAGAGAAGGTGCTACGACATCCAAAGGCTGGAAAGAGTCCCACAAATTTGAGGCTGCGAAGGCTGGCAGATTGGATTAGGTTCCTGTTCTTGCCTCTTTTCCTCTGCTTGGGGCATATTTTTGTGCACAGTGGTTGATACAGAGTGATGCAAAAAAGCACTAAGAGGATGGTCTAAATAGAACCACTTACATTTCAGGATCATCTCGCTTCTCAGCTTCTGGACAGTTTTTGAAGAGTGTCTGATAGCTCTGAACATTCATATTAAGAAATATTTTCCTACTGGAATCAGCTCCCTAGTCTGCTGATGTCTGCAGCCTTTAGATAAAAGTAATTCCTTCCAGGTAGCTGATTTTTTTTTTTGGGGGGGATGTTTTTGAGAATTTCTGTATGCAGATTTAACTGTAGTTACTTTTGCTTGCTTTCACTCTTGTTACATGAACTTAGATGGGAGTAGGAGTGAGATTTCATGGACTGGGTCTGCTTTTCTTAATTTCAATTAATATGGTATATAGGAAGAAATCTGTATTTTTGGCATTGCTTTATGATACTCTGTATGAGTTCAGAGGAGTCCCAGGCAGTCTCTGCAGCAGGAGTAGAGCGGTCCTGGGAGCTTTCCTCTGACCCTGAGAAATCCCAAATTGTCCAAGACAAATCCCTGGAGTTCTCCTATGGTTCTCACCCCAGCCCCTTGGGAAAAGGTATGGCTTGGAAATCCCGACTTCCTTGAAAATCTGCAGCAGGGTCTGAGGGCAGCCCATAACCTCTAGGTTTGAGCAGCTTGAAGAGAGCTGCTGTGAGAGCAGCGGTGAGGAGGACTTGGGCTGCTGGACATGACCCTAAATGTGCACTGGCAGCCCCAAAAGCCAACCACGTCTTGAGTGCATCACAAAAACTTCACCAGCAGGTCGAGGAAGGTGACTCTCTTGAATCACCCACCCAAAATACTTTGTCCCTGGGGTCCCACCATAAGGAGGATGTGGACCTGCTGGAGCAGATCCAGAGGAAGCCACAAAGATTATCAGGGCTGGAGCCCCTCTCCTCTGAAGCCAGGCTGGGAGAGCTGGGGGTGTTCAGAGTGGAAAAGAGAAGGCTTTGGGAAGACTCCTTCCAGTGCCAGAGACCTGGAGAAGGGGGAATGACTTCAAACTGACACAGGGAAGGTTTAGTTTAGATATCAGAAAAAAAAAAATTGCCCCTGTGAGGGTGGTGAGGCCCTGGCACAGGTTGCCCAGAGGAGCTGTGGCTGTCCCATCCCTGGAAATGTTCCAAGCCAGGTTGGATGTGGCTCGGAGGAACCTGGTCTGGTGGAAGGTGTTCCTACCCCTGGGCCTTCCTGGAATGAGATGGTCTTCAAGGTCCCTTCCAATCCAAACCCTTCTGTGTTTCTAGGAGGCTGCACTGGGTGCACAAGGCTCAGGTGCTGCGCTGGGATTTGTCGATACACCATCACTTTTCACATTGAATTGCTGAGCAAGTGTGAGCCCAGCCATTAATTGGACTTGGGGACTGCAGTTATTTCTGGACCATGAGAAGACCACAACAAGAAGAGTTAGTCATGTGTGAGCAGTACTCTGCAGGCTGATGTTCCACAATAAAGCAACAAAAATCATAGAGAAACATTAAAAAATTAGTTGTACACATGACTGGCACATCGTTTCCATCCAAATGGGTTATACCGTAGGTGCAGATGAGATCATAGGCTGCTATTTAAGGAGGAAACCTCTACTTACATAAATGTCTGATTATGCAACTGTCATGGAAACCACAGATGACAAAGATGTATTAGATTAGCTTGTCCATTCTCTTGGAGCACAGGATTGTTCCTTGTGGTTTATTTTTCACTCAAGATTTTAAGAACTGATTGGTGGCTGCTGGATGCTGAGCTTAAGAAGAAATGATTTATAGTGTAAGCTGTCCCATTTCTAAAGGTGATTTTCTTTGGAAACTCAGGAATAGAAGTGCTTAAAGTCACTGGTTGCATCCAAAGATCCTCACACCAGTGTCTAGCTCACCCTTGTCCGTGTATGCTTGGAGGGTTCTGGCTTTCATTCCTTAAAATACAGGCCAGAGTCTTAGAGACTTTACCATTCTGCCTGATCTTTCCTTAGTTTTCATCCCCTGATATTGTTGTCTTTCCAAATAATAACCATTTTCTCTGGTTTTGCACTCTGCCAGTGTGTTGCTGCTTAGCCAAGCTATACAAATTTTGCTGCTCTTTGCTCACAGGTCAGTCTTTTGAGCCATGCTCATTTTTGCTGCTGCACAGGGAAATTCGCACAGATTAGTATTTTAATCTTCTTTCCCTATTTAAAGAAATCCCAGGACACACATTGAATGGTTTTCCTGTCACTTGAAATTAAAATGTTTAAAAGTAAGTGTATTTATATATCTTTTTCTCAACTTTCACCTCCAGTTCCTCTCAGTCACTGATTTGGCTGCTCTTCTGCCTTAGAAATGGTGCTTTTTGGAACAAATTGAACTTCAGTTTGGCTTCATATCATGAATAGTGTGATGTTGTTAGGTCATGAGTTATATGGTTTAGTCTCACTCATGTTCATTCTGCAGAATTGACCTGAAATGGTAAAATGCCAAACCCTCTGCGTTGTCCATTCCCACCAGACATGAGATTTGGGAGGATGCATAGCAAGATAAAGACAAAAAGATTAATGCTAAATACCAGGGATATTTAGCATAATTTTTGTCAACTGATCCCTCTTTGATTGTGTTTTCCACTCATTCACAATGTGTTTGGTTGCTGTTATTTTCTATAAAGGTGGTCTCCTTGTCCTTAATCCCAGTGGTTGCTGAACTCAACTCTTGCTCCCCCTCATGTCCAATTCAGATAACAAGAAACAAGTAAAATGGGTATTTCTTGTTCTTAAGACCTACTGAGGGCCATGCTTAAAGAGTTTAAAGCATTACATGATTTTTTATGTGTAGTGGGACTTCAGCCAGGATCACAGGGCAAATTAAATTCAGGCTCTGTCAGATCTCAGGAAAGAAACAGGCTGGAGAGTTGGACCCTCTCCTCTGACAAGGGATCTCAGAGCCAACCTGTACCTGACCATTAACGATGGATATCAACAGGGAAGCTGCTGCTGCAGAGCACAGGGAGAAGCTGATAACCAATCAGCATGAATCCAAAATACAGAACGGCTTCTCTCTGAACCATTGCATCAGGCTTGCAAGCTAAGTCTGGTCTCGCTGAAGTAATTTGGAAAACTCTTAGTGTTGGCACGGTTCTCACTGCCAGCCCTGCCAAGCATCTTAGCAGTGACCTACACCTTCCCTATCTTGCTCTAGGGCTATTTTAGCCAGGGCTGTCAGTGGAGCTGAATTGTTCCCTTACGTGATGGCTTTGCAATGTGGAATACAGCTCAGGAGGGACCACTCTCTAAAACAGAGAGAGTAACTCAGTCTCCAGGGCCAATTCAGTCATTGATTTTTATTTATTTATGATTTGATTTCATATTTTCCTGAGGCAGCTGATACAGAGAGCAATTACAGTGGTGATTTTTCTGTGCTGTGGATCTCGACTGACTGTGCTGTGGAGGGACCTGTGCTTATTTCACATCAAACCCCACTGCACAGCAGTGCTTTCCAGGCATTACAGAACTGAGACAGATTCGACCCTGGAGATGAAAATTTGAATTGTAATGTCTCACCCTGGATATCCTTCCGTCAGAGAAAAGACAGTGAAGCACAGTGCTTGCGGGATGATTTAGAAGACAAAAGCACTCCAACCACTCAGTTTAAATCACAGCAATTGGACTATGCACAGCCAAGCCAACTGGTTTTAGAGCAGGTCAGATGAGTTCCAACCTCCTCTTCAAGTATTTAAGGGAAGTCCTTAACAAGAACCTGCTTTGTTGCACTTCTTAAAAGAACAAGTTACCCAAGGAAGAACTTGCCAGATCCCCTCCCCATTCTTTCACAACAGATGCCCAAGTTGCTGCTGTCCTGCATCCCACAAACAGACACATTTCTGCAGGAATGATCCCTGAATTTCATCTAAAAGCCTCTGAGAGCCTTCTAAATAATTTCAGCATGAGCTGTCCTTAGGAAGTTGAAATCAAAGGCACAAGGACCAGGATATTTAATAAGATGTAAATGACAAAATGAGAACCACATTGAAGGATTTGGGACTTTTCTCCCTGTATGGATTCCAAAAGGGATCATGAGTTTGCAGTGCTCTGGCAAGCAGGGAGATGCTGTGCATTCAGCACAGGCAGCAATTACATCTCCTCTTTCTAAATTATGTTATCAAGAAACATCTATATTGTTTGTATGGGTCTAGATTATGCTCTGAGAATAGAATGTTCCCTGCATAAAGAGCAAGGCTGGAGTAAATCAATGAGGATGCACTCAGAAACATCAATTAAAGGTAATACAAGTCTTTATGTGTTATCAGGGAGAGAGCAGAGTTTGAAAATCTGATCTTCCCAACCCTCCCTTCCTCTCTAGGAAAGGAGAACTACTCAGAAATTCATAAGGTTTAAAAATAAAATACTTGTCTCCTCTCATCCTCATCTTTACTCAGGTTTTTACTCAGTGCTGGTTCCCAGCATAGTAGATGAGTGTAATGTTTTTCTTTAGGTCTCAAAGTTCTGCTGGGTTAAGGAGTTACCTTTCTGCAAGCACCACGAGCTGAGTACCTTGGGTTTGAGGTACATGCTTTGGGACACCTGAAATCTGATTGCTTGAGGTGCCAAGAGCCCATCAGTGATCCAGTGGAAGTCAAGAAAATCAGGTACCAGTCTTCCTCAGAGCACCACCTAGAAATTCAGATTTTCAAAGTTAACAGTGATGACTGAATACAAAATAAGGGCAAATCTGTGATAGAGGTGGGAACAAAATCTAGACAGTTTTACCTGTCAAGTGTGTAATACCTGGAGCTCATCTGCAGAGGGGTGAGTAACTGGGCCACCTTTGGACATCATTAGTAAGGGACATGTCGATAAACGTTGCCATGACCTTCTCTGCTGGTCCCAGATATTTCCTGTTATTGAGGCAAATGAGAAATTAATGTGAATTTTCCTTCAGCCTATTAATTCTGCATCCCCTTTGCAGATATTAATTCAAATGCAAAATCTGAGCCTGGGTTTGAGCCTCCCCTATTCTCCACGCAGTTCATGCAGAGGGTTCCTGCTCAGGCACATTTGTTACCTACGTGACACTCATCCATCATCGGGATTGTAATTGTGAGGGGTGGAAAATTTTCTTCTCGCTAGTCGGAAGGAAAAAGGACTTACAAAGAATTTATAAGCTTCTTCAGCTAAGTTAATTATTCAGGAAAGGGTATTTTTCACTGCAAGGAGCATAGGCAAGCAGATTCCATTCATAGCTCAAATGCCAAACAATTTAAGCACCTTTGGTTTTAGTGGCTTATTTGATTAATATTAAGGTGGTGGAGCAGGGGGGTTAGTGTTTTGGGTCTTTTATTTTCCTTTAATGCCTTTTCCTGTTGGGCAGAAAGCTGCTCCCTTTTCGTCACAGCCTGGATAATGAATTGCAGTGTACAAAGCCAGTCATACAATACGCAGCAGCGGCAGCGCGGAGCAAGAATCTTTGGGAAGAGTTTCCATAGAAACATTGACGTCCTCCTGGTGAACAGGACACTGAGTTCCTTCAATGGGAGGTATGGGGTTTTAAAGGAGCAGTGAGATGGCAGGAAGCCAAGCCAGCACAGCTATGACTCTGCATCTCCCAACAGAACAGGGGGTTGGAGCTGGTGGGAGGGGAAGAAAAAAAATTACCCAATTACCCTTGCATTACCAAAATGTCAGATTTGATGGTTGCTGCTTGAACGGTACTGTACAGAGCCTGGTAAATAATTAAACTGCTGACCGCAACGTATGTGAGACCTGGCAGCCAAAAATCATAAATACTCAAGGCTGTGAACTAGCAGCTTCTAAAAAATCTTGTCAGATTTTGCCACAGACTCCATCCCCAGAAGCCTTAAATTCAGCACAAATTGGCATGATGCAGGCACAAACCTCCCAGGGATGAACAAGGTTGCACTTGGCGACGTGCACCCTCCCCTTCCCTGCTTGTCTTGGAATGAGACAAGTGCTTTGCTAATGTTCCAGCTCTGTGTTTTAAATAGCCCTGTGTCTACCCAGCTAAATAGTGGCAGAGTAGCCCTGTCTGGAAGAAGGCTGTTTCTAGAAGGAAAACAGTCAGAGGAAATGTTTTTGCCAGAAACGCTGGGAATCATACAAAACAAAAAGGCAGCATGTGAAAGAATTCACTGCTGAGTGCTCCCCAGTGTTTTTGCTCAGGCTCACAAAATACTTATTTTCAGAGCAATTTCCAGATAAGACCAATGAAAATGACAGTCCCTTCTTGGAAAGAGTGTGACCCACCCCACAGCCCATCTGATGCCAGGTATGTTGTCCAGAGCCTCCCCCTGGCTGTGGGACTTCTGGCTCTGGAGTGAACTCAACTCAGCCTGAGAAAGTGAGCAGCCATCCTGACCCAACAGGGTCGCTCTCAGCCTTCATGGTTTCCTCCAGCTCTGACTGAGCTGTATATCTCTAGCTCAATTCAGATGACTCTCTGGGGTACCTGAATGTATGTCAGCATTTTACATGTGTCACTCTCCCAGACAGATTCATAAAATGGTTTGGGCTGGGAGGGACCTTAACACACTTCCAGTTCCAACCCCCTGCCATGGGAGGGACACCTTCCACCAGACCAGGTTGCTCCAAGTCCCATCCAAGCTGGCCTGGGATAATTCCAGGTATGGGACAGCCACAGTTTCTCTGGGCAGTCCATGCCAGGACATCACAAGCCTCACTGGGAAGAATTTCTTCTTTGTACCTAATTTAACCTGCTCTCTCTGTCAGCTTTAAAAATACCAAATGCCCAAACTCCTCCTTGGGGTGAGTCACATGAGGTAAGGAGCACCCATTGCAATTCTTCCTCTATTTCTCTCCAGTGCTGATATCTCAGGGGTGACTCGTTGTTTACACAGCAAACCCTTGTGGTGTGGAGTTTCCTTTGAGCAGGTGAGCTGGTGGGAAGTTGTGCTCCACTGGGACAACATGGAGCAAGATTTACTTCATGCAGGAGCAGGTGCTGTGGTCTTGAACCAGCCTTGTCCTCTCTGCAAGAGATCTTCTGTTATTCAAAAGTATCTTGCAGGTTTCCACACATCTGTTTCTTGTTCAAATCCCTCCAGAGTGATTTATCAAGAAATACAAGGCATCCACAACCCCATTACAGTTGAATGGGAGCCCAAGGTACCCTGCACCTTCCACAGTCTGCTCCAGACAGTCTTCAAAGGGCAACAACTGCAGTGTGGCTGCTGACCTTAATCCCTGTTCTTTGCAATGCTCAGAGACTGTGGCTATTTATACTGCTCTTATTGCAATGCTGAAAACTCTGCTGAGAGTGAAATGATTTCAAATCTATATGGGTATGATGCCACATGAAGTTCTGGTTTGTAATTTCATAGCAAAGATATCCATTTATTAAATGGGCTCCAGGTGGGGTGTTTGATACAGAATATGGCATTGATCTATTTGCAGAATGTTTGCAAGAAGATAATTTTGGTTCAACCTGTTCAGCAAGATTCACTGTAGACAAAGAAAGACAGAAAAATCATCAAGTCAGAGGATCTCAAAGAAATGTCTTGAGTTCCAGGGACTTATTCAGATTGTTTCACAGGATGATGATATGAATGTCTTTGAAGGGAATAAGAAGAGGGGGGTAAAACAGGATGTCCATCTTCCTGAGGAGTGCTTAACTTTTTTCATCCATTTGTCTCAGTTGAGTTAACCTTGTTTTGTGGATGCAGAAGACTTAGAAGTAAAGACCCATTTAGAATGAGGGATGTTTTGCTTGAACACTTTGTCCTTATTTACAACTTAGGGGAATTTGAAATCTCATTATTCTTTCTTGATTAACATACCTTTATAAGGTGTTCAGCTAGCATGACAATGAACCTGATTTATATATATCCACATAGCCTGGATTTGCATGTGCCAGGAAAAGACTGAAGGCAAACCAGACCTCACACCCACCATGATGAGACAGCTGAGTCAAGGTAGGTCTGGGACAATGCCTGGAGCTGATCCAGAGGGGCAGGGACTATGCCCAACCTCTGGCTGACAAACTCACGTGCTGCCATGAATCTACTTGTGCCTACACAGAAAGAATGCTCAGTTCTACTGAATTAGGAAGAAATCCAGGTAGAGTAGGGGGATGCTCTGGTCTGACTGCAGCTGGACCCTCTGAGCACCTCAGCATGGTATTTTTGGAAGAGCAAGTAATAAGTGAAATTATCTACTTGACTAGTATTAAACCAGTGCACTACAGCAGTTCTGAATTTCTCTGAATCAAATCTTATCACAGTACTTCCTTTGCTAGAGGTGCTCCCTCTCCTCTCCTCTCCTCTCCTCTCCTCTCCCAGATGATCCACAGAGCTCAGTGCTGTGCTGGGGTTTTTTTTTAGGTGAGCCACAGTCACTTCCACGACCAAGCTGTTCTTGCCCCAGATGAACAAACCATCTTTCAAAGACACTTAATGAAGTTCCACTTAAGTCTTATGAAACCTGATGGCCCCTGATAACCCCTTTGGTGCAGTGCTGAACTGGTGGGCAAACTCCTCAATGGAAATGAAGTCATTCCCATTAAAGGCAGGCTTGTGTGCTGCTGGCAGGACCATGCACCATGCCCAAGGGTCTGCAGCAATGCCTCGGTGAGTCTGTACTGGCTCATGCTTGGTGGAGAATTCCTACAAATATCTCTGCATGCTGCTTAAAACTTGTAGACAGGCAGTTCCCTTTTCACATCTTGCAGTCAAGAGCTGCCAAAGATATGTAGATGTTTATATTCAGGCATTTCTGTTCAGAGGAAGCATCAGTGCCCTGCTTGCTGGCTGAATAGGGAAAGTCTCCCTCTGCACCTGAGCCTGTTCCCTTTGGGTGGATCTTCAGGAAAACTGCAGGAGGAACCACAGCCAGCAAACACTTTGCAAATCCTCTACCCAGACGCACTGCTGCTCCTGGACTAGAGCCCGTGCAAACAGCAGGGAAATTTTATTTCCTGTGATACATCGCTTGAGCTTTCCTTCCAGCAGATCCCGCTTCTTTTTCACATCAGCTCCTCTGCTGAATCTAGGACACGGAAGATGCTCAATCCTGCCTTCTGGGCTCTCCTTCATCAGATTTACAATGTTTTTGTGCTCCAACAGTAATCACAAGCTGCTCGCATTAAATGCCACACTATGGGAAACTCTTACCAAAGGGCTCCGAGTCTTTGATCATTCCTTGAAATAGCAGAAAACAAAGTCTTTCAATAATGAAAAATGAATTCCCACTTTATCCTTCAAAATGGTGGTGGATTTCTGTGCCTTAGATGTTATACAAACCCATTGCAGTGGCCATTTTGAACAACTAAACTTCCTATAAACAGCTGAAATTTCCAAGGTGAGGATCCCATCGTTGCAAACGCTGCCTTGGAGATTGAGAGCATGTGTTGAAGAACAACAAAAAGGAAGAAGAGATTTTTTTAAAGATGGGAATTTGATACCAAAAATTAAGCATGGCCATAACAATTACAGCCATCTAGTGGGCAATTAAAAAAAATTAAATAGCACTGATATTCAATTTCAGTAGTAAAATACTTGTAAATGAAAGAGGTCTAGCAAATAACCTGGGGCAGCTTTCACTGTTTTGTTGTTGTTATTTTTTTAACTTATTCTTCAGGAATACAGAAAATCTCAAATATTTTCCTTCTTTCATGTAGTCTACACATATTAGGAAAATTAGATCTCATCTGGTGCTACTGTTTTAATGAGGGACTTGCTGAGAGCATCCAATGAAGTGTGTTATTGCTCACACTGCAGCTGAAGGGACAGGACTGAATTTTTTAACAGATATTTCCTTTCTCCACCTGGTTCATTAAACTTTAAAGTTAGATATATGACAACACAAGCTTTAAGTTAAGTAGTTGGCAACAAATCAACAGGCTTCACAGAGTGATTAAGGATTTCTTTCTGCAGACGCTTTGTACATGTTCTTTTGGCTCTTGATGTCATCCATCATTTCAGGAGCTGCTCAGGTTTCATGGGGTATTTCATGTTGATAGGATCTTTAGTCAATTTCTATTGAAAAAGCAAATTGGAAAGTAAGAATTTCATCTGAATCTTTGCATATCAAAAGGAAGAAAAAGTACATTCTTTCATTTATATTACTTTTATATGGAGCATATGGGCTGAAACACTGAACTTCAGATCTGAATTCCAAAAACTCCAAAGAATTTTGATTTAGTCCATAATAAAATCTGCACTGGGATTTCATAACAAAAATTTTTAATCCACCTCCAAGAAGGGATAAGATCCTCTGTGAAAGGGTTTGCTCTGTTAGAAGTTTTTGGTTTGGTTTTTATTTTCTTCAAACTTAGTCATCTGTATTCAAGATTTTAAATACATATTTATAGAACAAACAAACCTTCTCAGAATAATTTC